ATCTCACCAATCACCAAGAAGACGATATAGATCTAGCCGGATGCCCCTTGGGACTCTGACCTTAACATCTTCTTGCGTCTCATCATCATCACTGCCTCCACCTTCATCACCGGTAATGAGAGGGGTTCGGCAACCACCAGAAAGGGAGGATCTCTCTTCTTCAAAAAAATTTGAAGTGGTTGTCACTTGAAGTGGTTGTCAACACTGCCGGTACATCGGAATACCGGGCGAAATATCGAGATTTGACCGAAATGAGAGAAATTTGACCGAAACGAAATTAAGGTTCATACCGTTTCGATGCAATGAAAAATCCGATACATCCCAGCCATACCGGTCGGTACGAAACGGTATTAACTTCTTTGCTCCATCTCCAAGTATACTAATATATATATATATATATATATACATATAAGTGCATATCAATCTCGATTAAAAAAAAGTTAGTCTTAACTTACATTTAAAAACTAAAATCTCAATTCAAAAATAAAAAATTTATATATATAATGTTTCAAATCTAAGTATTAACATTTAATAAGATAGATTTTTAAATTTAAAATTGAGTTTTAATTAAATAAAATAAAATAATTTAATATTAAAATTCTAATTTATTTTGAAAGTTGAGATTGCACGCTTCCCTATATATATATATGAAATTAGTATATATCAATTCAAACTTAAAAAAAATTTAGAGTTATAATCTACGTTTAAAAACTAAAGGATATAAAGGCATATCTGATACCGAGCAGTCTGAGAATGGAGAAAACCAGTCACTTAATACCATGCCCCCTTGTGGAGGCCAAGTTGAGGGGGGTAACACTGTTTCTGTGCACGTCGAGGGGGGAAACAATGAGGATGGTACAACAGAAGTGGTGTTTGGAGTTGAAGCTCACCAAACTCGGGTAGCTTTGCCTTCACTTGCTGAGGTACAGTTGGTGGAAGTTCCATTGTCCCAACAATTTGAGGACATGATAACTCATAGGGGGAAAGGAAAAACTGCAAAAGCAAATAAGGGTAGCTGGAAAAGACTAGATCGTACAGTGGCCTCTACGCTGCACGCAGAGAATAACACCCGAAACAAGCGCAGAAGTTGTCTAACGCCTATGGAGGAAGAGAGAGCCCTTAAAGTGCTTGTAGATAATAATGGGGTGGCTTTAGCCCGGTTGGCTAAAGGCCATGACCCCCCCGCTGGTTGATGCATGCATTAGCATAGGGACGACATCTGGCAGGTTGGGGACTGTTGATGTTGATACTCCCTGCTCTCCCCACGAAGCTGGCTAAATAGGTGAGAACGTCCAGAAGTTTCTAATACTCATAGCGACCTTCTTTCTACTCTAGTAGCCCTATTTATGCCCATACAGCGATTGTGTTTGTACATGCAATCCTTAGGTACAGATGGCCCTCTTTACTTAATTGTCCACATCCGTCATGGGTATAGTTTAAATCTGTTACTTATGCTGTAGGTTATGCTTCGGTTTTTAGCTAGGCTATAGTGCCCTGCATTGAGATTAAGCTGTAATCTCCTTTCCATTTAATATAAATCTCTATTTTCTATCAAAAAAAAAAAAGTGTAATTACTTTTGTTAATTTTTTTGTCTTATAATTTTTTTTCCTAAATAGTATATTAAAATATTTAGACCTATAAGTAAATTGTAAACTAATATGAGCTAACATTTATCACCATCAATTGACAGAAAACACCAAAGTAAACAATGCCAAACTTTGCGAAAATGCTATATATTGTTTAAACTATATACGTCACTTTCAAGATTGGTGATGCACTGATGATCACTAGTGTATTTTTAATATGTATTTTAATACAAGTTAATGATGTATTAATTATA